TTTCATAGGTTCTAACCTCAGTGGGGTGATTGACTTTTTGTGCTTCAGATACTACATTATAATAGAGTCAATAGTATTCCACTTTTAGATTTAATTAATTCATGATAAGATTAATTAATTTATAACCATTGAATTAAAGGATTGTCAAACCACACAAGTATAGGAAATTAAAGCTTAATAGCTTATGTGCCAACATCTTTTTCCATTCAATATTACCAAGTACTTTGTGTGTGATTTAGGGATCCATTCTTGTGTGATCTAATCTAAAAGGTATTTTACATGCATGGTTTAAAACATTTTTCAATGACTGATTTATTTTGATTACTTTGCATATTTATTAGAAAGAGTGATGAGACACTCTTTGTATCATGTCTTTCTTCACAAAGTTACATCATCTTATAATTCAACTTCTTTGTCAATTTAGAGAACTTTTTAGAGCCTCTCAAGTTATTTGAAGTAACTATGTAATAACCTTAAAAAATGCAATAAGCTCGAAAAAAATAAATCACTTTTAATCTACAATTATTGTGACTATGATTTCATTGATATATACTACAGAGTACTATATTTAATTTGATCCTCTATTACAAATTTATAATTACTATTTATTTGATTTTATGTCTATTAAAAAAATTTGATAATTCACAACCTTAACCTCAGTATCTAGTATCCTTTCGGTCTCGGACTACTTTGATAATCAATAAAAATACAAATTACATTAGTACAAATGCTTATAATATGAACTCTACCCCCCCCCCCCCCCCCCCCCCCCCCCTTTTTCCCCAAAGATCCCCTTACAATGTTCTTGCTATTTATACAAGCCAATGAGAGCAAGTAATGATAATCATAATGCATTACCCATTGCACAAAGCATCATGGGAAAAAAGTCGCTCACAGTGAGTCGTTTTGAATATTATTGATTCTATTACAATGTAGTATCTGTTCATAAATATTTTTTCAACCTACCGAAACACAAAGAGTCGATACCTCACACTGAGACCTCTCATTTGAGAGGCCACAACTATGCCGCTCGATCACAAATCTTTAATTTGACTCTTCCTCTATACTTCTTCACCCAAAGCCCTAAATACCGGCTCTTTGGCATAAGCACAATTACCCATTGTGCCATCAAACCCAAATACCCAATGTTCCATCAAACTAAACAACTAAAAAAGAGAGTTCAAATTTTTTAAAGAGCAACTAAAGTGATTGAAGCAATTCAATGCTTCAATAGTAAAAATTTTAATTAAATGGACAAAAGTTTGTTAAACAAAAATACAATTAAAGCAATTCAATTATTTCAATTTCACTCCTATTTTCATTAACTATTTTGATATTAATATTGTTTTGGTGTGTTAAAATTTTCCTCCTTCCAATTCTTCAAATTTTAAATGTCAAATCTAATTTAAATGTAAAAATAAAAAATGAAATAAGAAAATAATATAAAGAGTTAGAGCAAATTATATTGTGAACCATGATTTACATTGTACAATAGATCTATGTACATACAAATAATATAGTATGTACATAAAAATTATAATGCAATATAATGTACATAAAAATGACACAAACAAATAACAATAGTACATGTAACTCTATGTACTTACGGTAATAAATTTTTATATACATATTAGTGATTTTGTGTATATACAATAGTGAATTTATGTAAGTACAATAGTATAAATTAAATTTATTTTAAAAAAAACAATATTTTTTTGGCTATTAAAAAAAAACAATATAAGTATATGATAGGATACAGAGATCATCACCGGAGAAGAAGATGAGACCTTTTCACTAAATTAAGAGCCGAGTCCTCCTGACAGCTGGGGAAGGAAGGCGTGGCGTCAAGTGTGCATATAGGGAGACTCATCAGAATAAGTGAATCGTTAAAAGGCAGGGTCATAGGAGAAAGTAATTAGAGCATCATTAAGGGCATTAAATACTCATAATTAGTTCATTAATTGTGGTTCGTTGTGGCCGAGTTTGGTCCTCACTCGGACCCCTATAAATAGCCTCTCAAAGCACTGTACCAAGGACAAGCTTTCTAGATATACACAATGATTTCCCGCAAACGCTATATTTATCTTTTATATTTCCTGATGATCTATCACCTTTTCCAGTTGTGTTGGACCCTTAATAGGCTTTCCAAAACTCTAAAAACCAACCATATAATTTAAAATATTTCAATTAAAACCTTTTAAAGACAATTTTTTATGCATTAATTTTTATGTGTAAAGTAAAATTTGTGAATCAAAGCCACCTAGTGAGGGTGAGGCGACATCTCCTGTCTCCACAACTACAAGGACCACAACAGTGACAATATAAAAGCATCCCTAATAAGGGGGTTGTGCACAGATTTTAAGAAATGAAGGATGATTTGAATGAAATAGAGTGAAGAGAGAGAAGATAAGAGTCGATTATGCTAATATGAGAATTTTGCAGCCACTGTAGGTCCCACTGTTGGGGAAGAGAGTTGCGCCTCATGATGTGTGAGGCGCAACTCTCGCGCCCAGGCGGGCGTGTACAGTGCTGGGCGCATAAATATATTGTTTTTTGTTTTTTATTTTTTTCAGATTTTAATTTTTTTTCTTTTTCTCTCTCATTCCATTTTCTTTTTTCTAATCACACATATAAAACCCCTCAAAATCTTCACACTATTTAAAATGCTCTAATTACTGAAGAGTGTTTAAAAAAAAAAAAAAAAAAAAACTACTGAAGAGTTGGTGCGGCTATGTATCCTAAAAAATCTAAATGATTTGGGGGTCCAATCAAAAGTCTAAAGTCTTTTCTCTCTGGACCTTTGATTAATTGCATCCGCGCTTTATTTTCTACTGTATCTTTCATGATCTGATTCTGGGACCCACCTTATATTTTTTCGAAAATGTTAGCGGATTACCATTTTATATTCTCTTTTTTTTTTTTTTGAAAATCCATTTTATATTCTCAATTTTACTTTTTTACAAAATTTTTGATGTCGACATTTTTTATGAACTCATATGATGAAAATAACCTATCATTACAAATATAAGAGAGTATAATTTGAAAATATATATAGTAGAACTTTATTTTTTTGAGTAGCTTTTTTACTTTTTCTAATTTATTATTGCATAAGTAAAAGATACAAGGTGTTTATTGTCAAATTATAGTGTGAATCATAACAGAAAGTATATTTTTAATATATTAAAAATATATTATTCGTGTACTGAATGTACATTATACAAAATAATGTACTTTAAATCAAGGTTGTAAAAATCGCTAGGCGCCTGGGGATCGCCTAGGGCGCCTAGAGCGCCTAGGCGGGCGCCTAGAGTGATTAATCGCCGCCTAGAGCACCTAGGCGGCTGCCTAGGGCGCCTAGGTGGCCGACCGCCTAGCGCCTAGGCGCGATTTTTGCAACACTGCTTTAAATATTCAAATAATATTTTTTTTTTGAATATAATATACATTTTAAATATATTAAAAGTACATTATTTAATAATATGGTCTCATGGTCCACGCAATGATGATTGGTATTTATTACGTATTGGCACGCGACCATGGAGTTTAATACTCCGTACTCCGTATTTAGACGTAAGCCCAGCCCACATTGGTTTAGGCCTGCGCCACACAAATCTTAAAGTCCACTAATCCACTATATTAGTCTCGAGTACTTTTGACTTCTCCCTAAGATGCTTAGTTTACAAATGTCAAAAGAGTATATGCGAGACTACATGAGTAATATTATATTTATTCTAATGTTTTATTTAAACTAATTTTACTTTTAGTAATCGATTATTATAGTATTGTCACATTTAAATTTATTTAAAAAAAATTGTCTTTCATAGGGTAAATAGATTTGTGCATACATATTTTTATCTATACTACTTAATAGTGTGGGAATAATATATAATAGAGGCTTTATGATTGTCTTAAGTACATGTGATAGGGAAAGCCGGCCATAGGAGGTCGGGGAAGTTCTGTTTGTACTACATACAACAAGATGAGTATAATTGTACAAGTATTAAAAGGACAGGGTATGTAAAGTATAATGGTAATTGAGAGGTTGAAAAAGCTCTAGTACAAGTTGTGAGAAATTATCCCTCTACATTAGGAGAGAGTTCCTATTTATACTATTGTTAAAATGGATGATTTTATTTTTATATAGGGAAAAAAGTTAAATAGGCTCTTGAACTTTTTCTTAAAAGTTAATTAGGCTTCTAAATATTTTAAAATTGCAATTGAACACATTAACATCTCATTTTAGTGCAATCAAACTCAAAAATCAATTAGTGACCTGCTATTACGGGTCACTAGATTTCAGTCAACATCCCGACAACCTCCAATGATATTTCCATCAACAAATCGACCGACGATCGTAGAATGACTCGCCGGTCAATTTTGAATTAACGGAGAAGGCAACTCTTTCCGGTGGTTGCTTTCTCACTGGAACGACAATGGTTGCCTTCTCTCCAGTGAGAAGGCAACCACCGTCGTTGCCTTCTCCGGCAGAAGGCAACCATTGTTGTTGCCTTCTGCCTCCAGTGAGAAAGACAATTTCCGTTAATTAAAATTTTGACTAACGATCGTTACGTTTGTTGGTCGGTTTATTGTTGGAAATATCGACGGAGTTAGCTTGAGGTTGTCGGAAATGCCATTCAAATTAGGTGGAGGTTGCCGGAATGTTGATTGGAACCTAGTGACCTGTAAAAGCAGGTCACTAATTGATTTTTGGACTTGATTCTACTAAAATGAGATATTGATGTATTCAATTGCAACCTTAAAATGTTTAGAGACTTAATTGACGTTTGAGGGCCTATATAGATTATTACACTTTAAAAAAAAAAAAAAAACAGATTATTACACTTAAGAGAAGAATTTTGCGTAAATATTGTCAAATTTTAGTCAAAGATTGTTTTGAATGGCGAATTAGGAATTTGAGTTCTATTTCTGCCCCAACAGGGAGTGACATGAACGGATCGATACGACGTCGTCCCATTAACCACTCCGTACAACGTTTAAAACCCTTGTGTTTACCGATTCAGAGAGAATGAGAGAGGTTTCGAGGGCACATTCATGGTTGCTGCTAAGATTTCTTACACAAAGGTCAGTTCTTTCAATTGGTCTTTCTCTAAATCAGTAGCTTTTCCTTCAAATGTTTCGGTTGATATCAAGAATTGTTGATCTCCATACTAGGGCCTCCTCCAGTATTAGAATTTCATCCCATTTTGTTCAATACACTCCATTTTCGTCATCATCATCAAGAACCCTAAAATCCAAATCGAACGATGCGGATAAGCACTCATTTGCAGTTTCTTATCTCATAGATAAATTCGGGTTCTCACCAGAAAAAGCTGTCTCGGCTTCCAAGTATTTGAATTTCAAGACCCCTGATAAACCCGACTCCGTGTTGTCGTTCTTGAAAGATCATGGCTTTACAGACAGGCAGATCTTGAATGTTGTCAAAAAGCTACCTAGTCTTCTCGTAAGTGATCCCAAAAGGACCCTTTTGCCCAAGATTGAGTTTTCCCGGTCTTTGGGTTTCTCACAGGACACTCTAACTACTATACTAAGTGCAAGTCCCACTCTTTTTAAGAGCAGTGTGGAAAAATGTCTTGTGCCATCCTTGAATTTGCTTAGGACTATGATTCCCGAAGAACGAGCGTTGATGACTTCCTTAAAGAGCTGTATACGCCTCCTTTCTCACGATCTCAAGCGTAATTGGGAACCTAATATTCAGCTCTTAAGAGAGACTGGAGTTCCGGAGTCGAATATAGTTTACTTGTTGAAATACCAGCCTAGGGCATTCCTTTATGACAGAGATAAGTTTAGGAAGCTTGTGGAGAAAGTGAAGGAATTAGAGGTTGACACGAAACAAGTAAGCTTTGTTATTGTACTTAAGGCGATGAGGATGGGCAGATTGACTTGGGGAAAGAAGATGGAGATCTTTAAGAACGCGGGCATGTCTGAAGATGAGGTTTTGGAGTCTTTTAGGAAGTATCCTTGGTTGATGATGATTTCTCAGGAGAAGCTTGTGAGGCTCTTGGATTTTCTCGTCAATAAAATGGGGTTGGAATCCTCGATTCTTTTAAGAAGACCGCAACTTAGTTCGTTTAGCTTGGAGAAGAGGATTATTCCTAGATGTGTAGTTTATCAAGCTCTGTTGGAAAGGGGTCTGGTCAAGGAGGATGGCAGCCTGTTACTTTACATTTTGAACGCTACCGAACCTAAATTTCTACAGAAGTTTGTGAAATGTCATGGGGAGCATGCTCCCACACTGCTAAAGATATATCAGGATTCACAAGAAGTAGGCTTTTCCCAATTATCTCGAGAATTAGTTTAATGTTTTTTTTTTTTGGTTCTTTTTTTAAATGTTGTAGTAAAAGCATTCAAGATTGCTTTTTGGATGATAATGAGCATCACTGGATTCTAATTTGGGAATTTATTATCGTGGCTGCTGCTTCCTCTTCTCTGTATCTTTTATTTTATGGGTTCTCAATTGCATATTTCTATCATTTTGTTGCAAAATTTTGTTTCCCTAATGGATTGTTAAGATCTATGTTAGATGCAATAGTTTTGGAAGCCTGCTATAGGTTCCCCTTTACTGCAACTGCAATGTGCCAATATTATTACTTCTGGTTTCTGTTGCATCTTCATAGTGATCTTGTTACTCAATAACCCAGCAATTGTAACTGCCCACTTTCAACATTTCCTATTCTCAAAGATTGTTTTCATCGGGACAATTTCAACCAAGTTGGTTAGACTATCGACTTGGTAACCACAAGGTTTTGACTCTTAGTGGGAGCAGCCTTACTTCCTTGTGGCCCTTTGTCGGTTAGGGTTACAAGGTGAGATTTCCCAAATGCACACTCTTGGATAGTGACTGAGTTTCCTTCCTCACTCCAAATTTGTGTGTGTGTGTGTTTTTTTTTTATTTTTTTTAATTTTTTTTTTAAAGTTGCATCCATCAACAATTTTGAACAGAACCAAAAATGGTAGCAATGTAAATGGAAAGTTAGTTTTAAACATATTGAATGAGATACATGCTACAAAATAAGATTTGCAGAATATTGGGGTTTTGATTTTTACTGTATTAGACTTGGGATATACGGAGTATATAGGCCTCAGTCAAAGTAACAAAGCAAGGAGAACAATGAAGGTTAAGGATCCGTTTGGAAACCCAGAAAATGACTTTTGAAAAATATTTTTCGAGTATTCAGTGTTTGGATGCAATAGGAAAATCTAGTCAACGGAAAACATTTAAGGAAAACATTTTCCGTTGACTGGGGAAAATGAAGCCATTTTGGTGGAAAATGACTTCCGCCAAAATTTGAGGGGAGTCATTTTCCACCAAAATGTTTAAACATATAGTTCTACTCATTTTTTCAGAAAATAAACTAAACACACCAAGTTTTCCAAAATGCAACCAAATACTGAGAGGAAAATGTTTTCGGAAAATGACTCATTTTTCAGAAGTCATTTTCCTACTTTCCAAACGGACTCTAAATGGGAAAAAATCATTATAGGACAGTTAAAACTCAATGTGGATGATTAAGTGGACATTGAAGGTGATAGAATGGGATTTGGTTGGGTCCTTCGAGATGATTAGGGAGCTTTCAAAGTTGCTAAACGTATTTTGTGGACTCGTGGAGGGGTGTCTTTTATCCAAAAGAAGCTGAAGTTATTGCCATTCGAGAAGCTTTGAGCTGGTTGAAAATTCATAATTTTGATAGAATTTCGATTGTAATAGATGCTCTATTGGTCCTTCAAGGTCTCATAAGTACTATTGGAGTGTCTTCTTTTGAATTACTTTTGCTTGATGAGTTAATTTGCTCATGTTTTTATCTTTTTTGTTAAGCAATATGCGAATAGGATTGCATATTTGTTAATTCAAGAATCTTGTTCTATAGGCTCTGTTTGGTAAACCTAGCTGAAAAGCTATAAGCTAGGAGCTGATAGCTGAAAAGGAGCTAAAAGTTGAAAAGCTATAAGCTTGGAGCTGAAAATTGGAGAGCTGTTAAGCTAGCCGTTATGATTAAAAGTGTTTGGTAAAATTAGCTTTTTGATAAGCTGATAAATGTAAAAAGACTAAACAGAGCTTATAACTTATTAGTAGCTTAAAATAAGTTATAAGCTCCTAGCTTAACGTTGCCAAACAGAGCCAATATCAGATTGTAGGGAGTGGGTTTACATCCTCCTCCTTTTATTTGTGAATAGGTATTTGAACCTTAATTAGTGTATTTCACGTTTTCTTCAAAAAAGAATAATGACGGATAATAATTGTACGATAACTATCATATTATTTTAAGAATAAAGGACAATTATGAGAAGAAAAATGAGATGTGAATATATATGTGTTCCAAAATATAAAAACATTAGATAGCAAATGTCATTAACAAATCATTAACAAAGTAGGTTTCATTATTAAGCAATTAATGTTGGTCTATTGCTAGTGACATTGGGTACATTGTTGTTCGTCATGTCAATAGGTCACCGAATCATGTGGTTCATGTGCTTGCACGGACGACTGATTCTTCCTCTGTCTTTGGAGTTTGGGATTCTATCCCGCTTGATTGTATTTTGGATCTTTTCGTAATTTAATGCAAGTTATTCTTTGATTTTCAAAATAATAATAATAATAATAATTAGTTAACTGGTTAAGTCATTAAGACATGAAATCAGGTCAACTAGTGAACCGTTCATGACATGATAGGTATAAATTTATTTTTTTGTGCTCATATTTGTTGTTAGAGATGTCATTAAATTACAAGTTACTTGATGTTTATCAAGTTAATTAATTGTATCTAAAATTATCATGTTTATATCAATTGCTTGATTTAAGTGTAAAATTATCTTTTTTTTTTTTGAAAATAAGTGTAAAATTATCTAATTGCACACTTTTTTTTTTTTTCTTTTCAATTTGATGATCAGCTATATTTTTGCGTAAGTAAAGGGGCATATTTGACTATTACAACAAGAAAAGAAAACATGAAGAGAAAGGTTAAAATGAAATGAAAAATAAGAACTGTGAAAAGAAAGAGAAAACAATTCAAAAAAAAAAAACAAAAAACAAAACAATTGCATTCAAAAAACACAACCAAATGTTGGGTAACCTCAACTAAGATGGTACGACATTCACACTTGTAATCACAAAGTCACGAATTTAGGTTAATTTACTTTCTTGTGGTCTTTTACCGACTAAAGTTACAAGGCATGCTTTACTTACACCCGAAAGGATTGTAAGATTTTCCTCATCATCTAAAATGGTCCTCGACTATGTCGTAACTGTGGGGCAGAACCGTGATTACATGCATGATGTGGGGCGGAACTGTGAAGGGGAAGGAAAGGGAAATTCTTGGGTCAGAGTTTAAGGAGATTGTGGCACAAAGCTGTTAGGCCTCCCTAATGTTTTTGATAGTGGTGTGAGGTGTTTTTGATAGTGTTGTGAGGAAGGAGAGGGAAGAAAGTGGTAAAATGACAGTTCTGTCTTTATTATTGACAGTCCATTAACAGATACATTAACAGATGACTAAATTAGGTAAATATTGTATAGTTAAGGATTTAATTGGATAAGAATAGTAGTCGATGACTAAATCGGTAATTACGACATAGTCAATGAACCATTTTGGTTATTAACTTAAAAAAAAAAAAATGTATTAGGACGACGTTTGGGACGTTCTGATTATGAAGTCCCTTTATCCCACTATCACCTACAGAGGTTTTGAAGGGAAATTAGGGTTTTACAATCGTGTAGGATATTCAAAATAAGAAGAGGTGAAGCTTTGTCAATTGATCTGTATTGAATTTTATTCTGAAAAATGTTCAATTTCATGGCGAAGATGCTTCCTCATCTGAGGTATTCAGTGAATAGATATTCCCCGATTCAGAGGTTCTACTTTCTTCACTTCGCCCCACTTTCCTCATCATCAAAAGCAGTGAAATCCAACTCAGAAAATGCAAAGAATGGCGACTCATTCACAGTTTCTTATCTCGTAAACAAATGTAGGTTTACCCCGGAGAGGGCTCTCTCAGCTTCCAATTATATGAAGATTGAAGAGGCTGGTAAACCAGATGCTGTGCTTTTGTTCTTGAAAAATCAAGGTTTTACAAAATCCCAGATCTCAAATATTGTCAAGAGGTTCCCTCCTGTCCTCGTATGTGATCCCCAGAAGACCCTTTTGCCCAAGATTGAATTTTTCAAGTCCTCTGGTTTCACACTGGAACAGTTGACTGCAATTCTAAATGGCTCACCCAGCACCTTCAAAAGAAGTTTGGAGAATCAAGTGGTACCTACTTTTAATTTCCTGAATAATTTTATTGGTTCAACAGAGAAAATTGTAAATGTTGCCAGGAGGTGTACTCACATTTTTGGTGTTGATGTTGAAGCATCTATAGGGCCAAATATTCAGCTTTTGAAAGATGTAGGAGTGCCCGAGTCGAAAATTATAAAATTATTGATACATCAGCCCAGGGCATTTGTTATAGATAAAGAAAAATTTAGGGATATTGTGGAGGAAGTCCAAGGAATGGGGTTTAACCCATTGAGATACAAGTTTCTTCTAGCAGTTCATGCCTTCAGGGCAATGAGCAAAGAGACTTGGGAAAAGAAGATGGAGGCTTATAAGAAGTGTGGATTTTCTGAGGCTGAAATATTCAAAGCTTTTGAAAAGAACCCTTGGTGTATAATGGTTTCTACAGGGAAGATTCTTGCAATGATTGATCTTCTTTTCAACAAAATGGGTTTTGAAAGATCTGTGTTCCTGAATAGGCCAGTGATCATTTCACTTAGCTTGGAGAAAAGGGTTATTCCTAGATGCTTGGTTTATCAAGATCTGCTAGCAAAAGGTTTGATTAATGAGGGTTTCAGGCTAGCTAATATGCTCGAGGCTTCTGAAAAGAAGTTTCTGGAGAAATATATAGCATGTCATGAAAAAGAAGCTCCTCATCTATTGAAGTTGTATACAGAAAAATTGGCTCTTCTCCATTGATCCTGACCCATATGAAGAGAGAGCCAGGTACTCTTTTACCTGCCTAGGTGTACATTTCACCATTTTTGCTAGAATATTGGTTGTCAATGGATGACATTTAGGCTTTCACACAACCAAGATGTAACTGAAGTGACTCAATTTAATTAAATGGCTGTGTTCTTGCCAACAATTCATTACATGTGTTTAAATCAATTGCCTCAAAAGTTTGGTTTTCTTCTCATTGTATAAAAGTATCAGAATTCATGTGGTTCCCGTGTGATCTTGCCTTTTCATCTATTTGAACCCATTTCATGTGATCTAATCTCCATATTGATACCACCGGGATTCATAATGGTTGACAAGTTGGATGCAGGGTTGCAGCGGAAGGCTCGGGGGTGGTTGCACTGCTATTATAGGTTCCTTAAAGCATGCTTATGAACTGAGATTTTTGATACATCTGATATTTGTTTGCACTACAGGAGCAGGGGTTTTCACTTGGAGAAGATTCCCTTATGTGCCTGTTTTGTAAAGCCATTATTATGCATCATGATTATTGTTTATGATCATGGGTTGTGAATAATTCATAATTCATAATTCATAATCTACCAACTTATAGATTTCTGGCTTAGCTGAGTTCAAATGTGTTGTGTAGTCCATAATCTTTGCCAAACTTAATTAAAATTGTTTATTTAATTAATCTATAATAAGGAGTGTCTTTTCTCCAAAAGAAGCTAAAGCCATAGTCGTTCGAGAAGCTTTGAGCTGGTTGAAAACCCATAATTTTAATAGAATACAGATGAGTCAATTCAGATTGAAATAGATGCTCTACTGATCCTTCAAGGTCTCAGGTCTCAATAGTACTATTGGAGTGTCTTCTTTTGATTTACTTTTGCTTGATGTTAAAAATTTGATGTGTCAATTTGCTCATGTTTTTATGGCAAATTATACTATGAGTAATTCTACATGTATGCCTGTTTCATATTCCCATTTTCTACTCCCTATGATTTAGCATGCCTTGATTGTTCAATTTAATAGGGGGCTATGATGTTTATCCATTCATTTTTCTTCTCCCAATCAAATTTAAACACAAGTGGGAGTAAAAGTTGTGAGTAAGTTTTTGAGAGTCCATGAAGTATTTTTCTTATATTATGGACCAGGGTATGCATTGCATTGTAGACCTTGGTCAACTTTCAAATTATGTATTTGCAGTTGACACATTATGTACATGCAGTTAACGGTTTCTGTACCTGTAAACAAATTGAATGCACATTACATGGTAATTAGTAATTACAAACACATAACATGATAATTACAGATACATGGATTGTTAACTGCAAGTACATAATATGTAAACTGTAGACACATAACATATTAACCAACATCTTATGTGTCTACAGTTAACATATTCTGTATCCGCAGTTAACAATTCATGTGTCTATAGTTATCATGTTATGTGTCTATAATTACTATGTTATGTGTCTTCAATTTGTTTACAAGTATAAAATGTTTTAACTATAGACACATAATTTTTAGAACAGAATTCACAATGCAATATGGACCTAATCCATTGTATAACAATTGTGTTTTTATCTTTTTGACGTTTTTGTTAAGCGATTTACGAATAGGATTGATCATTTGTTAGCTCAAGAATCATGTTCTATGTAAAATTGTATAAAGTGGGTTTTACCACTGTTGCAAAAATCTCGCCTAGGCGCTAGGCGCCCGGCCTCCTAGGCGGCTTAGGCGTCCGGCGTCTCCTAGGCGGCCTAAGCGTCCGGCTAGGCGTTCTAAGCGCCCTAGGCGGTCCTCAGACGCCTAGAGGGCGCCTAGCGATTTTTTCAACATTGGGTTTTACACTCCTTTTATTTGTGATTTTATGTATTCGAACCTTAATTAATGCATTCCCTCTCATGTTCAAAAAAGAACAATGTAGGATAATAATTGTACTATTACTATAATTCTTGAAGAATAAAGACAATTATTGTACTATTTTGAAGAAAAAAGAGATGTGAATATATGTGTACCACAATATAAATTTCAAATATATATATATATATGGAAGTGATCATGTGCGGGTGGTGCGTCCCGTGCGGTTGTGCGAGTGGACTCACATTAAGCAATGGCGCACTTTAAGTACACAACAGACGCACATTAAACACACAAACAAAATACATTCAGAACACAAACTCACGCACCTTAAGCACAAAACTCACGCATCTTAAGCACAACCCTCATGCACTTTAAGCACAAAACTCAAGCACATTAAGTACAAAAACACACGCACCTTAAGTTTTTACAACAACTCACATTAAGTACACACTCACGCACCTTAAGCACAAGACTCACGCACATTAAGTATAAAACTCATGCACTTTAAAGTTTCAACAACAACTAACATTAAGTACACATTCACGCACATTAAGCACACAACTCACGCACCTTAGGCACAAAATTCAGGCACCTTAAGTACAAAACTCATGCGCATTAAGCACTACACACTCACGCACATTAAGTACAAATCCCACGCACCTTAAGCACAAGACTCACGCACATTAAGTACAAAACTCACGCACATTAATCACCAGCACTGGAACTTTCATATATATATATATATATATATATATATATATATATATATATATATATATATATATATATATATATATATTTATTTATTTATTTATTTATAAACATTGGAAAATACTATATGTACTCTTATTCTCTACTCTCAAATTTTTACTTCCACACCTTAAGATTTTGATGTCCCATTTACAGAACCCACATGAAGAAAATAGCCTATCAATGTCCCCACCAGATTAGGGAGTAAATTTGAGGGGGTAAGATTTGAAAGTACATGTAGTAGAACTCAAAAACATTAGATAGCAAATGTCATTAACAAATCTAGTTAATACCAAAGTTAGTCTTCGACTATAATGGTTTTTTTCAATTTAGTCTTAAATGACTTTTTGTGCTTAATTAGGTCTTCGACTTTAGTGGTTTTACCCAATTAAGTCTTCGGGTGTTAGAATCGATGACTAAATTGAAAGAAAAAAAATCACTATAGTCGGAGACTAAATTGTATAAAGCAACTATAATCGAAGACTAACTTCGGTAAAACTACTATGGTCGATGACTAAATTTAGTATGAGTAAATTCCATTTTTAACCCTCAACTAATGTGGCATTGCCACATTTAGTCCTACTTTTTAAATTTTGACATATTACATCCTCGACTTTAATTTGATTGCCAATATTGATCTTCCGTTAAAATTTCCGTTAATCTACAGTTAAGAATAAGGTCAATAATATAATTTAATAACTTGTCTCAAATACATATTAAAATTCATCTTTTTTATTAGACTTCCTCCTCATCTCTCTCAAAAAAAAAAAAAAATTGCGCTATTTTTTTTTTTTTTTTTTTTACTTCCTCCCTCCGTAACTCTCTATGCTAAATTTAGAGTAAATACCTAAAATGGTCCCTCGACTATAGCTAAATTCACAAATTGGTCCTCGACTTTCAATTTCAATCAATTAAGTCCTTAACTTTGTAATTTTAACACAATTTGGTCCTCTGTCTATTTGACCATTTGTTGACTATGATTTTTGAGGATATATATGTAATTTCATGGTCCATCATCGGTTTTTTAAGGTTCCGGTTGCATTTCCACACCACACTATTACATTCGAATCCACTGCCGAAAGCAATCTACCAAATCCGGTCGCCTTTCTTCATCCCACCTTTGGATTCAATGTAGTTGAGTTCATACTAGAGCGAAGAAGACGGCGTGTTTCAGAACCGGTGCAATGTCATCCTGGAGGCTTCCACATGCTCCGACGAGAGCTGAAGGTTCTTCTGGAGATCGTCAATCACGGTCAACAAACGGTCAAATAGATGGGAAACCAAATCGTGTCAAAATTGCAAAGTTAGGGACTTAATTGGTTGAAATTGAAAGTCGAAGACCAATTTGTGAATTTAGCTATAGTCAAGGGACCATTTTGGGTATTTACTCCTAAATTTAAAAAGAATCAAAATCTCCAGGAACTTAGGGAGCTCAGTGTACGAGGTTTTTTAGTGATGTTATCAAAATATCAAAACTCCAGAAAATTAGGAGAAAAATCAAAACCTATCAGAACAACTGAAAATATCACACGACAGACCAGAACCTACAAATTCTTCACTGTTATGAGAACCCATTTGCCTTTACCTTTACCTTTATCACAATATGACAAAAAAAAAAAAAAAAAATTAGGATAGCGCGAAAGTTTTTTTATTTATTTTTTTTGTTTGTTTTTGAGAGGGGGGAGGAAGTCTAATAAAAAAGATGAATTTTAATATGTATTTGAGACAAGTTATTAAATTACATTATTGACCTTATTCTTAATGGTAGATTAACGAAAATTTTAACAGAGGATCAATATTGGCAATCAAATTAAAGTCGAGGATGTAATATGACAAAATTAAAAGAGTAGGACTAAATGTGGCAATGCCACATTAGTCGAAGACTAAAAATGGAATTTACTCATTTAGTATTAATAGATGTGAAATTACCAAGCTATCTAAACAAAAGACTAAATTGAGTAAAACCATCAAAGTCGAGGACCTAATTAAGCACAAAAAGTGGTTTAGGACTAAATCGAGAAAAACCACTATAGTCGAGGATAAAATCGGGCATTAACTCTTAACAAATCTATAACAAGTTTATATAAATTAATGAGTGAATTTTAATTTTGGTCATGTGACTATTAGGGTCTTGTTAATTGCAATTCATGACTTTTAAAACTGTTAATTTAGTACTTAATAATCAATTTTGGTCACTCCGGTCAAATTGCGGGTCAATTCTCATTGTAAAATTTTAATTAGCCAATTAACCTTTAATCTAAGGGGTAATTTCGTCTTTAACCATCATCCCCATCCATCTCCGCCAGCACTCCTTCGTCAACCTCCATCATCCTTCCATTCTTGGCGACCTCCGTTGCAGTTCCAACCCCACCATCCACGTTGACCATGGCTTGAGTATATCCTTCATCTCCTATCTTGAGCCCCACCGAAGACCATCGGAGAAACGGCGACAACGACGAAGAAAATAAATAGTAGTGACGAAGGTGACTGAGTGCGACGGCAGTGACAACCTCCACCGTGAGCAGACTGGCGACGTTGAGCAGGAGTGAGCATATCCACGTTGACCATGGTTTGAGTAGATCCTTCATCTCCTATCTTGAGCCTCGTCGGCGACCATCGGAGAAACGGCGACAACGATGAAGAAAATAAATAGCAGCAGCGGAGGTGACGGAGTGCGACGGCAGTGACGACCTCCACCGTGAGCATATTGGCGACGTTGATCAGGAGTGACTAGATCCACTTCGACCATGGTTTGAGTATATCGGCTTCCAGCGTAAGCAGACGTCGTCGATGGTTGTTTGAGCATGTCAGCCTCTAGCGTGAGCAGTAGACGATGACCGTTGTTTGAGCAAAACTCAAGTGACGTTGACCTGAAGAAGCAGTGGCGACCAAGCATGACCATCTCCGGTGTTGACCTCATTTTTCGACCACACATACAAAGACGAAATTGCCCCTTACATTAAAGATTAATGAGCTAATTAAAATTTCCCAGTGAGATTTAGCCGGCAGTTTGGTCGGAGTGACCAAAATTGATAAAAATTGAATAGTTATAGTACTAAATTAACATTTTTAAAAGTCGTGGATTGCAATTAACAAGACTCCAATAGTCACATAACCAAAATTGAAATTTACTCTAAATTAAATAATTTGTTAACTAGTCAAGTCACTCAGACACGATCATATGAGGTCTATCAAGATCAACTAGTTAATGGTTCATGATATGATATGTATAAAGTCAAACTTTTTTTTTTCCACATTAGCATATCCTCCGTCAACTAAGTAGTAACAACCTAGAAACATAAGTTTATAGTTTAATAAGAATGTATATTATATTACATGATATTTGGAATTTAATATTATAATGCTTACCATTAGGGACCTTAAGTGGATGCCTTCTAGATAATGCATTCCGAAGAACTCTACTATCTGCTACAGATCCTTCTCATCCCGGAAGAACGTACACAAATTGCATATTAGGTATACATACACCTAATACATTTGTTGCAATTTCACCCTTGCGAGATCGATATCTACGGCTTATCTTCTGATGACACTTGTATTCTAATGAAAGTTCCATCTAACGCGCCTAGACAATTCTAGAAACAATATCAAATATTATTAAATATATATTCACATTGTAATTAAACTTATAACTCAAGTGTAGGGGATATGTTTAACTACCTTAAACCATTTCCATCTATGATCTGTAGAGATAGCTGGGACTGGTTCAGGATCTTTGAATAAATGATTTCGGAGTTTCAAAACAGCATTTAATACTATATTAAAGTATCGACTAATAGTTTCTCCCGACCTTTGAAAATTATTTTGAATGATCCTATTTTTTACGTGACGAGCAATAATATGTAAAAATATTGCTACTTGCTCATCAACAAGCATATTTCTTGTTTGGCCTTAACCCTCCTATAGTTTGTAACATTGCACACAACTTCACAAAAGCACCTCATCCTAAGTTGAGATATGCATTTTTCATCACACGAATACACAGTTCGTAACATATATTATCGAGACCCTAAAGTATTAATAATATAAGATTTCACTCGTTTTTTATTAGAACACAAAGTTGTCAAGGTTGACATCATCATTATAAACAATAAACTCACAGAAGCACACATATCCAACCATACACGCAACACAACTACACATCTTTTCCTTCTTTCAGTACGAGTTATTAAACGCAATCGAGCCATACCAGCAAATTTAATTTAAAACTTGTAATAACTTATACAAATTACAATAACACTACTGTAAAAAAAAAAAAAAAAAAAAATAATAATAATAATAACACTACTGTGACAAAAAAATCAAAAAAAAAAAAAAACACTTTTGCAGCAAAAATAAAATAAAATATAAAATCAATAAAAAATAAATTAAAAAATAAAAATAAAACAATACTGTTGCGGCTGCGGAACCCTCCGCGCCACAACAGTGTATATATATATATATATATATATATATAATATTGCTGCGACGGCTCGCCGCAGCAGTATATATATGTATATATTTATAGAATTAAATATTAATAATAATTAATTTGTAAAAAATAAAATGCAAAAAATTATCTTTATTTTAAGCTTTAATTTGATGTAGATGTAGATGATAGAAAGAATTGCAAAGATTGATGCAGAATGGAGGACGAAATTGTTTGATTGATGCTGATGATGAAAGGAATTGGGGAAGGAATCGTAGATGTCGAATGATTCGTAAGGAGAGAACGCAGAGAATGATAAAGGTTAAAATTGAAAAAAAAAAAATCTATTTCTAAGGACTCAGAAATAAGTTAATACCAGGGGGGCCTGGTAATAGCTATTACCTTATTTGAGGTAATAGGCTATTGCTAGGAATATTATTCTGGTAATAGACATGGTTACCAAACAAAGGAATAGATCTATTACTGGGAATGCTATGTCATTCCCGGCCTATTCCGTAAACCTAACTGGCTGTTAAATTTTTGTCCCCTTTACTTTGAACCGATTAATTATAGACAACATTTACTTGTGATCCTTTATCAGCTACGATTATAAGACGAAGTATACCTACAACCAAAAAGGTTATGGGTTTTCCTTGTCATACCAAAAAAAAAAAACAAAAAAAAACAAAAAAACAAAACAAAACAAAACAGAAGTATTACGACGACGTTTGACGTTCTGATTATGAAGTCCCTGTATCCCACTATCACCTACGGAAGTACGGAGGTTTTGAAGGGAAATTAGGGTTTTACAATCGTGAAGGATATTCAAAATAAGAAGAGGTGAGCTTTGTGAATTGATCTGTATTGAATTTTATTCTGAAAATGTTCAATTTCATGGCGAATATGCTTCCTCATCTGAGGTATTCAGTTAATAGATATTCCCCGATTCAGAGGTTCTACTTTCTTCACTTCGCCCCACTTTCCTCATCATCAAAAGCAGTAAAATCCAACCCAGAAAATGCAAAGAATGGCGACTCATTCACAGTTTCTTATCTCATAAACAAATGTAGGTTTACCCCAGAGAAGGCTCTGTCAGCTTCCAATTATATGAAGATTGAAGAGGCTGGTAGACCAGATGCTGTGCTTTTGTTCTTGAAAAATCAAGGTTTTACAAAATCCCAGATCTCAAATATTGTCAAGAGGTACCCTCCTGTCCTCCTATGTGATCCCCAGAAGACCCTTTTGCCCAAGATTGAATTTTTGAAGTCCTTTGGTTTCACACTGGAACAGTTGACCGCAATTCTAAATGCCTCACCCAGCGCTTTCGGAAGAAGTTTGGAGAATCAACTGGTACCTACTTTTAATTTCCTGAATAATTTTATTGGTTCAACAGAGAAAATTGTATGCGTTGCCAGGAGGTGTACTCGCATTTTTGGTGTTGATGTTGAAGCATCTATGGGGCCAAATATTCAGCTTTTGAAAGATGTAGGAGTGCCCGAATCGAAAATTATACAATTATTGATAGATCAGCCCAGGGCATTTGTTATAGATAAGAAAAAGTTTAGGGATATTGTTGAGGAAGTCCAAGGAATGGGGTTTAACCCATTGAGATACAACTTTCTTCTAGCAGTTAATGCCTTCAGGGCAATGAGCAAAGAGACTTGGGAAAAGAAGATGGAGGCTTATAAGAAGTGTGGATTTTCTGAAGCTGAGATATTCAAAGCTTTTAAGGAGAACCCTCGGTGTCTAGTGGTTTCTGCAGAAAAGATTGTTGCAATAATGGATTTTCTTTTCAACAAAATGGGTTTTGAAAGATCTGTGTTCCGGAATAGGCCAGTGATCATTACACATAGCTTGGAGAAAAGGGTTATTCCTAGATGCTTGGTTTATCAAGATCTGCTAGCAAAAGGTTTGATCAATGACGGTTTAAGCCTAGCTAGAGTGGTCGAGGCTCCTGAAAAGAAGTTTCTGGAGAAATATATAGCGTGCCATGAAAAAGAAGCTCCTCATCTATTGAAGTTGTATACAGAAAAATTGGCTCTTCTCCATTGATCCTTACCTGCATATGATGAGAGAGCCCCCCCACCCCCGGCTACTCTTTTACCTTCCAAGGTGTACATTTCACCCTTTTTGCCTAGAATGTTGGTTGTGAATGATTGACATTTAGGTTTTCACACACCCAAGATGTAACTGAAGTGACTCAATTTAATTAAATGGCTTCTTTCTTGCCAACAATTCATTACATGTGTTTAAATCAATTGCCTCCAAAGGTAAGTTGGTTTTCCTCGATCTCATTGTATAGAAGTATCAGAATTTGCGTGGTTTGAGTGAGTTCTTGCCTTTTCATCGATTTGAACCCATTTCATGTGATCTAATCGCGCTTCTAGTCCATATTGGATACCACCGGGATTCATAATTGTCGAGAAGTTGGATGCAAGGTAGCAGCGGAGGCTCGGAGGTGATTGCACTGCTATTATAGCTTTCTTAAGCATGCTTATGAACTGAGATTTTTGATACATCTGATATTTGTTTGCACTACAGCAGCATGGGATTTATAGAATTTCTGCCTTGTTCTTTTATGTGCCTGTTTGGTATGAGTTATTATTATGCATCATGATTATTGTTTATGATCATGGGTTGTGAATAATTCATAATTCATAATTCATAATCCACCCCAACTTATACATTTTTGGCTTAGTTGAGTTCAAATGTGTTTTGTTTTTTATTTTTTTTGCTTCGGAAAAAATCATGAATTTATTATTATCTCATTTCTTTACCTCTAATCACTTGTTGCAACTCCAATATGGAAACAGTGTCTCATCTCTTATAGTCTTATGTGAATGTCCTCTTGCCTGCCAGATTTGGGAATCCTCAGCCGTGCTGCAAGGTTCGTCTTTTGTGCAGTTTGTTCAAAATGTTCTTTGCATGGGGGATCAGGATAATATTATTCTGGTTGCTGCCAAATTTGGAGGGTATGAGGGGGCAGGTTGCGGCTTTGTGTACGATGTGGAAAGAGGCGCTAACTAGGTCCAGTCCGATTTCGCATGGCGCGACTAGGCAGGAATCGTGGACTCCTCCGCCGTTGGGCATATTGAAATGTAATGTGGATGCGGCTCTCACGGGTAGGGTTTGCTTCTTTGGAGCGGTGGTCCGAGATCATGATGGGGCATTTGTGGCTGCTTGTAGCCGAGAGGTATATTGTCCATCCGACCCTTATCTTGCGGAGGCTATGGCGGTGAAGGAAGCTCTCGCGTGGATAAAGAGTAGCATAGCTACTGATTATATTGTGGAGTCGGATTGCTTGAGTTTTTGTAATGCTTTTCATTCTGTTAGTATAGACTACTCATATGTTGGTTTACTAGTTCAGCAATGTCGTTTAATTGCTTCTGCATTGGCAACGTTAAGATTAGCCATGTCAAAAGGATGTCGCTCATGTGCTGCTTACACGGGCTGCTGGTTCTTCCTCTGTCCTTTCCTTGGTGTGTGGAATTTGTTTCCTCCTGATTGTATTTCAAGCTTAATATAATGCATGCTTTGGTTGGTTTTCAAAAAAAAAGAAAAAAAAGAATCACTTGTTGCAACTAATACCTCACTCATCATTTACAACCAAAAAAAAATAAAAATGAAGTTAATGTTCTCAAATGTCCTAGACCAATGACCAATCCCAATTCCCATATACACATTTGAAAAGTTTGTTATAATACTCATTGTGAAATGAAAAGCACTACATTTAGTGATAGACAAATATATCTAAGTGTTTAATTCGAATGTACATAAATTTTTTAAGATAAGGATGGGGAAGGGTATTCCCCGAGTCCCCGTCCCCCATCTCCGCTTCCGTCAAAGCGGGAAATTGGATTCTCCAAAGACCTCTGTCAAAGACAGCGTCCCCATCTCCACATCCATCAGAACGAAGAATCGGATTCTCCGAGGGCAAGATAAGATCCCCATCTCCACATCCATCAGAACGGAGAATCAGATTCTCCGAGGGCAAGGTGCAATTGACATCCCTAGCATAGCAAATTTTAAGTGCAACTTGGGTTGTTTATTACTGCTCTTTGTATCCTTAAATCAACTTGGAGCATTGAGGGACTGAGCAATGAAACATAGATTTGAGGTTTGTTCAGAATACAGAGCTCCCTTTTCCCAAGCAAACAAGAATAGAAATGGAGAATCAAGACAAATATGAGGAGAAATTTATTCTCAAAATTTGTGACTTCTTAAATTCTCAGGGTTTATGGAATATTTTTCACAAGTTCCTGTGGAGGTAACAAACACAAAAATGTATAGACTGTTAAATTTTTATTATAGGCGATTGCTACAAAGATATTCCCAAACTTCAAATACTAACACCAAATGATAAAGTAGCTAGAGAAACAACACATCTCTAAAAATTTATGAAATATTCAAGAAGAAACCAAACTTCAAATACTATGAAGTTAATTGTCTATTATGTATCCTTATTCGTTAATGAACAGAGCCATCTTAACAACTAAGAATGAGTTTGCAGATGAAATTAATTCTAACTTAATAGATAGATTCCCAGGAGAGAGTAAGTGCTATGTTAGTTTTGATGAACCAATTGATTCGAAGCCGATGCATTGTAAAGATTATTTACACACTTTATCCCCAGCTGGCCTGCCTCCTCACAAGTTACTTCTGAAGAAAAATTGTCCTATAATTTTATTGAGAAATCTGAATCCATCGGAAGGATTATGTAACGGGACAAGATTAGTTTGTGATTCATTTGAAGATCATCTCATCAGTTGTTTGATTGCAGTTGGTGAATACAAAGGAAAACATGTCTTCATTCCAAGAATTCCTCTTGAGCCATCAAAGGATGAAAATTGTCCGATACCCTTTAAAAGAACCCAATTTCCTATTAAAGTGTGCTTTGCCATGACAATTAACAAAGCTCAAAGACAAACATTAGATTTTGTGGGAATCTACTTGAAAGAGGCAGTTTTTTGTCATGGACAGTTGTATGTGGCTATGTCTCGGGCAAAAAAAGCAGATTCGGTCAAGATGATTATATTTAGTGATGATGGTCACAACAAACTGACTAATATTACAAATAATATTGTTTATCAAGAAATCTTGGACTACATTTCTCAAACAACTGTTGCACCAGACAAAAACTAACACCATGTCCAACGTTTATTGATGTTAGTTTTTTGTACCCTCTTTTTCATATTTAAAAAAAAAAACATTTTGATATACTAATTATTTGCAATTGACAACTATTTATCACACATGTGCCACAGGATTTCTCGATATCAATCTGCAAAAGCTGTTGAATTCAGACAATTCAATTAAAGTGATATGTGTATCTATATTTGACAAATCATCTATGGTTCATTAAAGTTGTGTGACATGTTATTCAAAACGAGACCAGGTAATTTCTAAATTTAATTTCCTCTTTTCTCTTGTTTTCAAATGTACTCTAAATTCAAATGACAAATATGTGGTGTGATATTCTATTTAGTAAAGAATTACAATATAAATCTTCTTTAACATGGTCAATCAACAGCGTTGGACCCAAGCACTTAAAAAAAAACAAAATAAAAACAAAAAACTTTGGATACATACATACTTCATAGTTTTTGAAACTGTATCAATTTGAGTAGGGATGAGAGAATGTGTATATGCATAGTTTGAGTACTTAGATAAGTACAATTATAAATTGTAATGACAAAAGATTACAGATTATGGTATTGTATGATGCGTTAAGATACCTCACTATAGCCCACACACAATAACATAACCCTACTTGTTTTTAAGCGAACAACACATAATTTTACATCACATGCTCAAAGCTAGCAATATTCCATTCATCTTAATTCTCTACTTCAACATCTCAGCACACCTCTGTTATTTATGTATAATAACTTTTCTTTAGAAGAAAAAGAGATTTAAACAAATATTATTAATTTCTTCACAATTGTCTTTACATAAATGTCCTTTCTTCATAAAATACATTACCTAATAGTTACAACATTAGACGCTTTCATTTTAAAAACTTATACGACCAGTAAGTAACATAATTTTATGTCATATTGGAAACACTGGAAAATACATGTTAACTAAATAACACAAGTAGAAAATACTTGTAAAATAACGTCAAAAACCCTAAAATTTACAAATGTATATATTCATCATAAAAATTTTTTGTATTTCTTGTGAAAAAAAATCAAAAACAAAAAAAAAAATTACATCAATACTCATAAAAATTCATCAAATCGAAATAAAAAAACAAATGCAATTTATCAGTTTTAAAATGATTTACTAGTATATATATATATATATATATATATATATATATATATATATATATATATATATATATATATATATATATATATATATATATATATACCCTAATTTTTGCAAAGTCATAAAAACAACATGGATAAAAATAGATGGTTTATGCAAACAAAAGATGGAACATCATGATCAATGAAAATCTTCCGAGAATAATTATATATTTCTTTAACAAAGTGGAGAAGAAAAATCACTAAGACATAACAACTTACACTTTGCGGACCAAATTATCCTTTCTCTCGTAGGAAATTATGATTTGAAGTTGAAGCTTCAGCATATTACGTATGAATCATCAATATTTTCTATATTAATTAACCATAAATTAATTTATTAACTAAAATAATTGGAAAAAAAAAAACAATTCTTACTTGACATTTTCATTCTAAGCAAAAAAAAAAATAAATAAATGATAAAAAAAATCATAGCATTTAAAATATACGAAGTAGTTTCTTAATTAACAAAACACCAAATTTGGCCTAAAACATACATATATTTAAGTATATATTTTTTTTCTTTTGGCCCAACTCAGAAGCCCAATACAAACCCCAAATTGGGCAAACCATATAAGCCCATATAAATACAAAAAACCAAACCCGAAATCCATCACCTTGATTCTCCACCCCTGTCTGAAACAATTGCTCCGCATTGTCTCTGTCTGAGAACTATGCTCCGTCTTCTCTCTACATTTTAGCAATCACAGCCCTTGCTACACACCTTCTCGCTTTCATGTTCCATTTGTTTCATTTTTATTTATTTTTTTCTCCGGCGATGTCAAAGCATTTTGTTTCGAGATGATTCTTCATCTGCATGCGTCCATTTCTTTTATCCACATCCTGTTTGGCTTCGTTTTTACAATTATATGGGGGAAAAAGCGAAAGGATATGTTGGTCGCCAATCGCCTATTGCTGATTTTGGTAGATCGACTGTCCACACCGATCAGTGATATGGGAAAAAAGCACATCTCTC